TACACCCAAAATACACACTTTGACGAACACTTCCACATTTAAACTTCCATGCAAGTTCGTGCCCAAAAACAACTTTTGGTCCACGAAACTTATAGGTTATGTTGATACTACAACACTACACAATGAGAACATCAAGAATTACGACAAGGACACAACAAAAATAAAATTCAAAAATATACAATTAAACTACTTACCTTGGGCTATATTTTCCATTTTTGAAATACCTTATAACTTTATTTTTTAAGGATTGCTCGTTATACAATTGTAATTCTGTTTTAACACTTATTTAATAACACGTGTTTAAAGTTTCAACTTTGAAAGCCTAGCAGATCGGTAGTGTTGCCAACTTTTTTTTTTAATATATTTTCTTGATTGCCTGGAGTGTTGCCATTAATATAATAAATTCACTTTTAAAAATTTTGTAATATTTTTTTTTTTTAATTTTTGCCAAAAAAAATCGATTTGAAACCATAGTGGAATGGTGTGAATGTTTTTAGTTTTTTCATGTGGCATTGAGTTATTTCGTTGCTTGATGTATAAAGTCATATGAAAAGAGATTGAGATAAAGGCAATGCACATTTGTATTATTGTTGAGTAAAGACAATTCAAAAGCAATGAATTTGCGAATAGTCATAAAACGTGAATGGTTTCACTCTGTTCTCTGGTACCCACTAATATTTAACAATAAGGAGAACTAAGCAGTTCCGCTGTGCTCCCATTTTGATTTGTTTTATTATATCCTACACCACTATAGTGGGGAGGGTATTATACGTTTGTGCTGATGTTTGTAACACACAAAAATATTGGTCCTACACCTTTAAGTATACCGATCGACTCAGAATCATATTTTGAGTCGATTAAGTCGATTAATTTTCAAGATAATTTGATGAAACCAAGCATGTTTTTTGGCACAAGGACGAAGCCTATTGAAAATGGTTGAAATCGGTCCATTATTTCACCTAGCCCCCATACAACCGTACCTCTCGATTTGCCATAATTACGTCAAATATACTATTATCTCTCTAAAAATTGGCACAAATAAGTTTTATATAAGTATAAATGACACTGCAGATTTTCGTAATGATCGGCCCTTATTTGACCCTAGCCCCCATACAAACCCCCCTTCAAAAAATGTCTTAAACGTCTAAAATTGACTTGTAACCATTTGTATCGCAATGAAACTCAACATAATTAACTATTATTTAAAAATATATCCTTTTCGCAAATTTAATGAGGATCGGCCCATGTTTGACCTATACTTCTACTATATAAAGCCTCATTTAGAAAATTTGTTTTTTATCAATAAATTGCTTAAATACTTTGGAATTAAGGTAAAATTCAACATACAAGTTTCTTTGTGAAAAATAAAAATTTTTAAAATATACTCATGGTGTAGGGTATTATATGGTCGGCCATGCCCGAATATACATTCCTACTTGTTTTTCTAACTAATATTTCAGAGTTATTTTATCAAATTTTCCGGATTATTCAGCTGTATAAAAAGTTTTATTTACACTGATTTTTTAAAAGTCGAAGCGAAGGATTGCAACCTCAAATTCTAAACTGGCATTAGACTTTTTCTATCACATTAGGTTTTCGTTTCATGATTTGCCAAAATTTACGCGAATGTTATATAGAATTTTATATAATTACACCGTACAACAAATTGAGAAAAATTGTTGCACGCATGAGCAAGACCATATACGTTAGAAACTACATACTTGATATATTTGCACTATAAATGCATACGAGCAAAAGAAAAATTGCAATTATAAAAAAAAATCAAAACCTGATTTTATCATTTTATTCAATTCCCTTAAAAAAATAGTGTTAACATTTTTAATTTATTGTAATCCTTTTAGGAGTTATGATGGTTATAATGTTGGCTTGTGGTTTAATAATTTCCCATCAAACAATGGTGTTTTTCATCATCATCTCCGAATTCAATAAAACTCCATCCAATTAATGTTCCATATATAACTTGTATAATGACAAATTTTGGGCCTTATAACTTTTGTGGTTTTCGAAATATAGCGTTGTAAAGTTTAAAATCTGAAAATTTAAAGTCTCATCACATCTAAAGGGTTAATGATAAAATTTTTGTTTTTGCACCATTTGTCTCAGCAAAAAGCATGATTATGCACAAAGAAAAATTGTTTTGAAATATTTTTTGAAAAAAGTGCATCTTTGGATATTAGAGCATGATTTCCTATAAATTCTACAGTTTCCGCTCTGTAATAAATGTCGCTCAAATATGCAGAGGAAGGAGTTGGAATTTTGAAAAAATTATTACAGCATAGTAATCACTGATACAAAAACCTTCTAAAAAGTTGTGATATCACAAAAACGGGAAACATTTTATTTTTTGAAACGAAGCCTAATAAATATAAATAAATAAGTTGAATTTCTAAATTCATTCTTGAGTAGGTCCAAATGTGGCCTGAATTTCTTTAAGACAGGATTTATTAAAATATAACAAATTGTATCATGACTGATTTTAATATACATATTTACGAAGTACAATATCGGGGTAATATTTTTATGATACCATGGACATTGAAGTTCATCAAAGTATATCTAAAAGTTTAACATTGAGGGACGGACAAAGATTCATTATATCAATATATGTATATTAGGGTGATCGATTCAGTTTTTCAATCGGTCTGATTTACCAGTGTCGGTTTTTTCTAAATGTTGATTCTTTCGAATATCGAATAACCCGGTTTTTTAACCTTTAAAAAGCCGGTTTCGAATACTTTTATTTGCTTTGTATTCAAAGATTACTTCAATTAAATTTTGAAATAAATAATAATACAGCCTGTCTAAATTTCAAAATATTCGAGTCAAGAAACTAGAATATATTTTTCTAAAGCACCTTTGGTTAAACTTTTTTGATTTTCCTAATTAATTAAAAAAATTTATTTGTAAAATTGATTGGAATAACTGTTGGATAAAATTTTATCAATCTTAAGATTATATTCCAATTACAATAATTAATTTGTCGCTGAAATATTATAGCAGTGTTGGAATGCCTATGAAAATTTACTAATCAGGGACTTTAGAATAAACTAGGATTATGATTCTTCCCAATTTTTTACATTAAAGAAATAATGTTTATTTTAAAAAATCAGTTCGGGTCATAATTTTTTTTCAAATTAAACTAGATGTTTTTATTTATAATAAAAAGCCGATTTCTCTGAATTTGAAAAATATCAACCGGTTTTTTTCAAATGTCAACTATTCGAACTACTCGAAAACCGGTTTTTGAAAAATGTCAAATAATCGATCACCCTACGGTATATATAATACCTTTTCTACTTCTGTTGTTGATTATTTAAAAATGTCCAAATATGTGAAGGTGTATTTAAAAAATTTACAACTTTCAGCAAAAAAAATATTTTAGTACTCTAAAATCCAAAAAAGTACTCTCTGAAATATTTTTTGATACTGAAACAAAATTTCATTTTCCATCCCTGTTTGGATGTCTGTTGGTTTTACTACCTTGTGTATTTTGTTTTTGTGTGTTTATATCGTTTAGCGTTGTTGTTGTTCATTATGTTTTGCTATTGCTATAATAATGATATAGTCGGGAAAATGAATTTTAAAATACACTATGGTGAAGGTTATATAAGATTCGGCACAGCCGAATATAGCACTCTTACTTGTTTTTTATTAATTTTAATTTAATTTTTTTATTAATATTTTTCCGTAATCGGTCAAGAAATGTGTTTTTCAAAAATGTTTTTGCAAAACATCACTGAAGAGGGAAAGGTTCCTCTTTGACGTGATTTTCTTAATAAATGTTCTACAACATCGATTTCTGAAATGATACAAAATATATTAAACAAAATACCTAAATTTGAATAATTCAATGGAGAAGGAGGGTATGGGTAGTAGTTTTCGTACTGTGAAATTTCAATGAAATTTCTTTTATAGCTTTATAAGATCACAAAGAAATTGCAAGGACTTTCTTCATAAGGAGACCTTCACCATGTTTTGAAACACGAAGAAGTTAGGGAAAAATTAGCACTTTATGCTTTAAGTCAAGAATTATTCTTTCTCCTAAGTTAAATATGTATACTATAGTTTTACCTAACTAGATAGTATTAGAATTATAAATTTGGAATCTTTTAGCTTTGTAAATTGGCAAAAAAAAATTGTTAATGAGGGGTAAAATCAGTAAAATTTTTTTTATTTCGTAAATGCTATGTTATGTTATTTAAGTCAACGAAATTTTTATATTTCTAAACCACTTAAACCCCGAGCAACAACGGGTACAAAAATCTAGTGACTGGGGGTGGGTCAATTATGGACCAATACTTAAAGGTAAGTATAAACAGAATTTTTGAAGATTAAAAGTTGAAATTAAATCATACAATTTTTCAATATTTTGGTAAATGTACATTAAAATTTTTGCGCATATGTAGACCGGAAACTACTAGTAATCCCAATTTGTAAGTAATGCTAGAGAAGTAATAGTAAAACTTTTATATAATTTCGTTTTTCAAAAAAAAAAAAAAATATGATAAAATATTTTTCAATTAAATTTTTATAAAATGATCAATATATTTGTTTTAAAAAATCTAATGCCAACAGAAAATTCTAATTATTGAAAGTTGTGGCATTTCAAAATAATTAATAAATAAAAAAGTCATTTCTCAATCTTATGGACCTTCTTGTACGTGTTTATACAATTTAAAACGGAATTCCTCTATATTACTATATTATTTATTCAATAGAATGTAAAGTTATTTCCCAGAAAATAATTTTAAAGAATGATATATTTAAATATGTCAAGCCTAATTACTATACTATTTATTTAATAGAATGTAAAGTTATTTCCCAGAAAATTAAAAATTTGTGAATTTATTGAACATATTTTTGGTTGGTCGCTTGATAACTTTGGGTTGCCAAGACATTAGTTGTCATTTCCTTTTTGTCACTACTGGAGTTGAGTTATTAAATCATTTTTTGTTTTGAAATATAATTGAAATATTTACCTTTCACAATCTTCCAACGCTTGGTGGTCTTCATTATTTGTTAACGACTCTTGCAATGACTTTTGCCTTTTCTTCATTTCTTCATCTACTCTACGCATTTCACGCAATGCCGCTGCAACCTGAAACAATGCGCATATTAATAAAAAGAATTAGTATGATATATTAGTCTATACTAGGGTGATCGACTCGATTTTTCAACCGGTTTTAATACCGGTTTTTTCTGCTTTACCAGTGTCGGTTTTTTCTAAATGTTGATTTTTCGAATATCGAATAACCCGGTTTTTTCACTTTTTAAAAACCGGTTTCGAATACTTTTATTTGCTTTGTATTCAAAGATTATTTAAATGAAATTTTGAAGTAAATAATACAGCCCGTTTAAATTTTAAAAATATTCGAGTCCAAGAACTAGGATATATTTTTCTAAAGCACCATTGGTTAAACTTTTTTGATTTTCCTAATTAATTAAAAAATTTTATTTGTAAAATTGAAACTGTTTAATAAAATTTTATTAATCTTAAGATTATATTCCAATTACAATAATTAATTTACGGCTGAAATATTATGGAATTGTTGGAATGCCTATGAAAATTTCCTAAAAGGGCTTAAGAATAAGCTAGGATTACATAGTACCTTATGTTTAAAAGAAGTGTCCACCTTTTTCCTAATTTTTTTTTTTATATTAAAGAAATAATGTAAATCAGACGACTAGATCTAAAGTTATAATCTTTTAAACTGTTAAAAATCATTTCGGGCCATGTTTTATTAATCAAATTTAAACATAAACATTAATTTCTTCAAATTAACATATACTTTTTTATTTATTATGAAAAACCGGTTAACCGGTTTTTTCTGAATTTGAAATATATCAACCGGTTTTTTTGAAATCTCAACTATTCGAACTATTCGAAAACCGGTTTTTGGAAAATGTCGAATAATCGATCACCCTAGTCTATACCGAATCTTAAATACCCTTCACCTTATTAGCACGTGTAATACAGTGTTTACTTTTACTAATATATTAGTCAGCATTTGCCGCAAAATACACATTTTTATCACTCGTCATACTAAAAATATTTAAACTTTTTCAGATTTAAATAACATTGCTACTAAATATTGCCGTTCTGTTTTTATGTTTAACTAGAAAAATTGCGATGTTACACTGCAATCTCTAGCAGCATGAATGAACAGTATTAATCTCTTGTTTGTTGTACAAGAAAAAAAATATATTTTTGTGCTATAGCAGCGCACACTCAAATCTGCTAAACTAATATGGCTAGTATTGATGATATTTTTATTTGCGCTGAGTTTTTCATAGCAGCAATTAAATTTTATTTTGCAACTGCTAGCTGCAAATTTATTTATTGTTATTTTTTTATATTTTATTTTATGAATAAACAGTTATACCAGTGTTACCACAATCTTTAATTAAGGATAATTATTTTTCGCAACATAAAAAATAGTTTGTAAAATATACATAGTGGCATCTCCCATATGAATTAAATACAGAAATCGTTTTTCTCGGAAACTATTAGAGTCAGAATCTTCTTATTTTGACGAAAAACTTTAACTTCATTATGAACATTGGGAAAAAATGGGCAGACTTTTATTAGGGGGCTTGGAACCTCCATATGAATTAAATAAATATGTATGTCTTTCAAAATATGGCTACCCCATAAAACACAACTCAAATTAAAAGCAGTCTTTAGATGTTTTTATTATTTTGTTCTAATGAATAAACATTTTTGGGCAATGTAGTTGTAAGATAATATGCTTATACTTATAACAATTTTATAACCAAATGATAGTTTTAAATATCTTTTGTTGTAGAAATTAATAAATTTATAATCACCTTGTATAAAACAGGGTGAACACACATAATTAAAATATTTTTCGTTGAATAATGAGCTTACTTTACAAATTATTCAAATCACACTGTTAAAATGTGGAAGATTGTTATATAATTTTTTTTTTTTTTTTTTTTTTTTTTTTGAAGAAATGTAGTTAATATTATTTTGTAATACATTAAGAAAAAAACAAACAAATATCAAGGTAGTATTTTCTGTATTATATCATACAGAAACTATGAGAATATTTAAACTATATTTTAATAATACTTATGTCAATCAGTACAGTGATATTATAGGTCGAGAATTCTCTATCTATGGGATGATAATAAAAATATACTATATATCGACCATACATAAATATGTAACATACATACAATATATGCATACATACATACATACATACATACAACATACATACAACATACACACAGACGACATACAACATACATACAACAGACATACAAGACATACATACAGAAGACATACATACAACATACATACACATACATACATAAACAGACTACATACAACAGACAGACATACATACATACAGACATACCTACATAACAGACATACATAACAGACAGCATACAGAACAGTACAGACATACATACATACAACATACATACCATGACATACATACAACATACATACATACATACATACACTACATACATAGACATACATACAGAATACAACATACATACAGACATACATCATACATACATACGACATACATACATACATACATACAACATACATACATACATACAACATACAACATACATACATACATACAGACATACATACATACATACATACATACAACAACATACATACATACATACATACTACATACATACATACATACATACATACATACATACATACATACATACATACATACATACATACATACTATACATACATACATACATACATACATACATACATACATACATACATACATACATACATACATACATACATACATACATACATACATAAGAAATGTCATAAAACTGTCAGTGTACTTACATACATACCTACATATGTTTATTTACAAAACTGCAGCATCAATATTGCCAAAAAATAATAATAAAACTACAACTGGCAGTAGCAAAACCAAAATAAAGTTACATTGCTGCTAGGAAAAACTAAACGCAAACAAAAATAACATCAATACTCGCCATATTAGTTTAACAAATTTGAGTGGGCGCTGCTAAAGCACAAAAATATATTTTTGTTGGCCTGCAATTATGTCTGCCTGCTACTAGAAATTGCAAACACGAGTTGCAATTTTTATATTAATACGAATATATATGACTGCAATTTTTAGTAGCAAAGTGATACAAAAATGATAAATTTTCACATTTATTTTATAGTCATATACAAGAGAAGTGGTGCTAGTGCTGCATATTTAAACGCTGGTGTAATATGCAAGAATGATACAGTGTAAGACAAAAATGTGTAAATGATGGTAAAATATTTAAACTTTTCGTCTATTTTTTTAAACTAAAAACGATATTTAAAAAAAATTTATGTTTTTTAAAACTATATTTATTGAAGATATTTTTAAACTAAAATAAATTAAAAATCAACTTAATTAAACTTTAGAAAAATAAAAAAATTAAATTTAACTCATTTACACATATTTGGCGCTTAGTACTAAAGAAACATTTTTATTATAACTTAACATTTTCTAGTGAATTTTTTTTTTAGTATTTTGTATCTTCTGTTTGGGTTCACGGTAGTTTCAACTCTAAAAGGCATAATCTCGATCAGTTTGTCGGTTTCTGAAGGAAACCGATAATGGGGGTTTGATCTGTTATCGACCGATTCCCATCAAATTCAGTTCAAAAATTTCAGCGTTAAAGTTATTTTCTGGATTTAATCTTATATAAGGGTGAATTATAGACCGATCTAAACTTTTGTACATAAATTATGTTTCGTAAATAAGTTGTTTATTCGAATTTCATCGCCTAAATCTTAATTTTAAGCAACTAATGACAGTTAAAGTAATTTTACTGAAGTGGTCATTTATCGATCCATCTTCATCAAAGTCGGTAGGAAGATTTCAGTTCCCATAAAACTTGTTTATGTTGAATTTCATATATGTATCTACTCGTATTTTAATGCCAGTAATTAGCGTTAAAGGCGCCAATTATGGACCAATACTCCTAAAATTTATAACGATTTCTGTTCATACAAATATTTTGTATGTCAAATTTTTGAGCCAGTAATGAGCGTTAAAGTCATTTAATGGGGTCCTTAATAGGGGTCGTGGGGTAGGGGCTCATACAAAACTTGTTTATGTGAAATTTCATCGAAGTAGTCGCATTTTAGCGTTACAGCCAGTAATGAGCGTTACAGTCGTTTCTGAGGGGGACCTTATATGGAGGGTGGGGTCAATTATAGACCGATCCCCATAAAATTTGATAAAGAGTTTTTGGCTAGCACGAAACTTGTTTATGTATAATTTCACTGCTATAATCGCATTTTTGAGACATTAATGAGCGTTAAGGTAATTTTCTGAAGGGGATCTTATAAGGGGCAGGGTCAATTATAGACTGATCCTCATAAAATTTTGTAGAGAGGTTTTGGCTCATACGAAACTTGTTTATGTCAAATTTCATCGCTGTACTCGCAGTATTAAAATTTTACTAAGTTCCTATAAAATATGTTCTTGTCGAATTTCAACGCTATAGATGTTTTTTTAGACAGTTATGAGCGTTAGTCATTTTCTGCAGGGGACTTTATATGGGGGGTAGAGTCAATTATGGGCCTATCATTATAAAATTTTACGAAGAGATTAAAGTTCCAATGAAACATGTTTGTGCCGAATTTCACCGCTATTGATGCTTCTTTTACACCGTTATGAGCGATCAAGTCATTTTCTGAAGGGGGCCTTATATGGGGGCTAGGCGAAATCGTGGACCGATATTGCCTATTTTCAATACCAAACAAATTGCATCAAATAAAAGTATATATGCAAAATTTCAGCTCGCTAGCTACTTCCATTTGGACTCTATCGTGTTTTCAACAGACAGACGGACAGTCGGACGGACATGGCTAGGTCGCCTTAGAAGGACCTAAGACCCAGAGGACCCAGAATATATATACTTTTATGGGTCTTAGACAAATATTTCAACGTGTTACAAACGGAATGAGGGTGGGTAAAAGAATATAAAAAGATAAATAAGTGTAGTGAAGTGCGGTAAAAAAGGAAAAAACGTGAACATGGAGTGAACAGTGGACAAATGTAATCAAAA